TGTCCAACTCCTTCACGAGCGAACACGGGCAACCCAGCATATGAGAGATGCCCCGCAGTCTGAGTCCCTGGCACCATCAGAACATGCCAACCATTGGTACTGGAAGGTTTCGCACTGAAGAAATCCAACCTCTCGAACCAAGACCACCAAGGCACGAATCATTGCCAACCGTTTCTGCAAGGTCATCTTCCCTTGATTGCCAACTAGGGTCTCAAACAAGTGTGAACTGACCACAGACTCAGGTGCTGGCAAGTTCCTCGAAGTCCCCGATGTCGCTCGCAGCCCACTTGATAGGGACAAGTGGCGATCAACGACCCCAGATCCGAATATCCTCACAGATCGCCGTTCGCCTGTGCGTGGTGTTCTACACAGTCTCCACCATGCCCACGGACTGTTCCTGCAATGCGCCTGTGCTGCATCACCTTGCTGGACCACGTGCTGTCGTAAGGCCTTAACGTCATCCTTCGTCCACATGGTATCGCTGATTCGCTTGCTTCCTCCGCTGTCGACATCAGCAGGGGGAACCACGATTGAACCAAGGACAACCTGCTCACCATTCATGTCCAAGTTATGGCCACTGCCAGGCAGAGGTGCGCTGCCAGCATCACGAGCCGGCCGCAGTGCCCCAACGTGTTTGTGGATCATCTCCTGCGCCTTTCAGCATCATCATCGTCATCGTCATCGTCATCATCATCATCATCATCATCATCATCAACATCATCACCATCACCGTTATCACCATCATCATCAGCAGAAGCATCATCAACTGCAACAGCTTCATCCTCGCCATCAACATCATCATGGACATCGTCGTCGTCGACGTCAGCAACATCTTCGCCACCACTATAATCAGCCGCAGCATCATCAGCACCATCATCATAATCTTCATCAGCATCATTCACCTCGCCATCGTGATCGCCATCAGCGTCATCACCATCGCCATCACAATCATCGCCACCATCATCAGCAACATCAGCATCACCAGCATCAACGTCTTCATCAACATCAACATCAACATCAGCATCAACATCACATTCATAATCATCCTCGCCACCACCATTCGCACCACCAGCATCATCATCAGCACCAGCATCCTCAGCACAATCGTCATCGTCGTCGCTCTCGTCACCACCACCATCATACCCATCTCCGTCCTCACCCTCATCACTCTCATCATCACCACCACCAAAATCCTCGGTACTACCATCAGCATCACCAGTACCATCACCACCATCACCATCATCATCATAATCACCATCGTCATCAACGCCCCCATCGTCACCATAATCATCATCACCATCATCATCCACATCACCCCCACGGCTCTCTCAACCCGGGAGGCACGAAACGCCACGCGTGACGGCCTCCTGTGCCCCCTCGAGCCGTCGCCGCCCAGAAGTTGGGCTGGCACGGCGGCGGGACTTGCCGCAAGCAGCTGGATGCCCAAAGCTCGCCGGGCCACCTGCAGCAAGAACGCCTCGACAAGAGACCTCGTGCCGCTCGAGCGCGCCTTCCAAGCTCCTCCTCCTCATTCGCCTCCTCCTTCTCCTGTTTCGCCAATTCCTCCTCCTCCTCCTCCTCCTCCTCCTCCTCCTCCTCCCCGTCCTCTTCCTCCTCCTCCTCCTCCTCCTCCTCCTCCTGCTCCTCCTCCAGGGGCGCGTTCTGACAAGGCGGGGCCCTGCTGAGGGGGTTGGCCAGCCACCAAGCTTCAGTGCATGCGCGCTGCACGGCCCTGGCCGTGGCCAGCACCCTCGCGGGCGCTCACTGCGAAATTCCGAGGAGGGCCAGCCGCTGGTGGGACGAAGGAGGAGGACGATGAGGACGAGAAGGAGGGCGAGGAGGACGAGAACGAAGAGCAGGAGGAGGAGGAGGACGACGAGTTTGGCGCGTGTCGTACTTTTGCTGGTCTTCTGGGGCGCCCTCGTCGTGGACTGCCGCCCATACCCTCAATGATCAGAAGGTGGATCGACGATCGTCCATCACATGTTTTGAATGATGTTGGCCTTTCCAAGGCCTCCGGGGAAACCTCTGGGGACTGAGGGACGGGATGACGTGTTCGGTGACTCTCGGTGGGCGTTCGGGCGACTTTCTTGGGTGTTCGTGCGTTTCGATTGATTTCCAAATGCTTCTGGGTGGCTTTCGCAAGTTTCCAGCGTTTCCTGTATGATTTCCGAACGCTTTCCATGTGTTTGCGGTTGGTACGGCAATTTTCAATGTATTTTGCGTGTGCGGCCCCGCCAGGGGCTGTCCACGCCGCCGTGAGGGTGAGGGAGGAAAAAGAGTGAAAAGCCCCGAGTGGTCCTCAAGGGCTCCTGGGGTAACACGTCGGCGAGGGCCGGAATGGGGCGAAGTGGAGGGCGGAATGCGAAGGGGACGGAGCAAAGAGAACAAGTGAACTGGGGGGGGCGGAAGGAAGATGGAGGAGGATAGAGGGAGACCCTCATCCCTGCTCCGTCCTCCCTCCTCTGTGTTTTCCTTCTGCTCCAAATTCTCCCCCATCCTCCTTCTGCTCAACTTTGTCCTGATTCCTCCTTGGGTAAGGGGGATGAGGAATGGGGGAGGGGAGGAGAGAGACAGATGGGTGAGGTGGGAGGGATCTGTCGACCTGACAATCGAGTGGCGTTATGAATCAGGGTGTCGGAGCGCTCCAGTCTGTGACTCCTTCAATACCCCATTTAAGCAAGTTTGATATCAAAAGGCGTCGCCCCGAAAGCACCTCGCAAGCCAAGACGTCCCCATCCTTCCTTCGGTCTGAGTCCCACCAGCCATCCGGGGCGAAGCTGGCTTAGGGCGGTTCCTCCTCAAATATTATCCTTCCCCTTCGGGGAGGGGTTTTCGTCCCTCCCCCTGCCCCCTCCCCTGGGTTTGCACGGCGGCGGGCGGCGGCGGCGGAGGCGGGCGGGCGGCGGCGGCGGCGGCGGCGGCGGATTGGCCGCCAGTAGCTGCTCATCCCAAGACGACTGCTGAATATGCTGCGGCTCGGGCCAGGCTCGGGTGCTACGTATGTGTTGGGAGGGCGGGTGGGAGTGAGCGGGACGGCTTGCGGGCGGGGAGGGGGTCTTGTCCCCCCCCCATACCCCCTCCACTGGGTTTGCACGGGGGGGCAGGGGCCACTCAGAGGAAATAGCTCAAGCTGGCTTCTTACATGCCTCCAAAGGGGCCACAGGACCACCCCACGACGGCTCCGAATGGCCACGGAGCGTTCTGAAGAGACCCACTGAAGTCCAATTCTATTCAAACCGACTGGAAGGCGCTGGTGTGTGCCGTCTCCGCATTTCGCTTCAAATGCATGGCTCCAAGATGGCCCAAGAGAGGCCCCAGATGGGCCCATGAGGGGCCCCAAGACGGCCCACCGAGTGGCCCAAGAGGGCCCCACGAAGCGATGCGTCATGCTCAAGAGGGTGAGGCTACTGAGGCTCCCCCTTCTTTGGTCGATGCCCTTCGACAGGGCTCCAAGAGGGCTCCCAAGAGAAGTGCCACCCAGAAAGCCCCAAGAGAGCCCTACAGACTCCCAACATAGCTCAAAACGGGCCCCAACATGTGTTCAAGAAGCTCCCAGAGCTAAAGATCCGCGAAGGTCTTCGTGGTTGACTCCTGCCGTCGTCGTCATCGTCGTCGTCGTCTCCCTCCTTCTCCTCGTTAATGTCGTCGTCTCTCCCTTCTTCCTCAATTCTCTTCCTCCTGGCTCCTCCTCTTCCTGACCCCGCCAACTATATATCCTCCTCCCGTCTCCCATTCCTCTTTCTTCACTTTCCTGGGTTTGGTCAAGCTGATTCCGAGAATGGCCTTGACGGCTGATTCACCTGCCTGTTCTACGGCATGTTCGCACAATCCCCTGATCAAGGCGACTCGCCTGACGATGACTTCTGGATGGGATGGTGGGGATACGCGATCTATCCGTCAACAAGTTGGTTTCGAGGTGACATGGTCTAGAGTCCGTAATCTCGCAAGTGCTGGCTTACCTCGATACTTAATCGATTGTATGGTATCCTGCTGTCGTTACTTAAGACGAATACTGCAGACGCGCTCGATCTAGCCCCTTACGCTCATCGAGCACAAAACACTTGCAACGTTGACTGCCTCGCAACATTATCACACACAGAGGCAAATGCCGGTTATGAAGCCGCCCGCGAGCTCAGTCCGCCTATATATGTATCTATATTTATACAGATATAACGACTGGGATCTGTTGCACAGGTCCGCAGGCCGTATGTGCCCTGATGCCATATATACTGGGAAGGTGTAAACGCTCACCACTCTGTTTTGTGCAACCCCTGCCCGCGAGAATATGTAGTCGTCTCGGCGAAGGCAGGGCACATTTTCGAGCTAAAACATGATACGGGCCCGCCGTCATGGAGGGAGACTTCTGAGTCCTGGCGGTAATGACGGCACGCAACAGGGATGAGGGACGAGGGGGCAGGGATGACGAGGGAGGAGGAGGAGGAGGAGGAGGAGGAGGAGGAGGAGGAGGAGGAGGAGGAGGAGGAGGAGGGGACGAGAGGGCGCAGGACGAGACAGCAAGGGAGGAGAGAGTCGGGGAGGGAGGGAGGAAGGGAGGAGTGGAGGCAGGAGGAGGCAAGACGGCAACAGTTCTTGGCTGCACTGCTCGACTCTGTGGCCAGCATGGCCTGCAGCGGCACCTGGAGAAAGCGCTAGACCCCGGGAGCTCATCCGATGGCCCCAGAGGAGCGAACGCGACGGCAGATGCTGGGGGCCTGAAAGTGGCATCAATACCAACACGTGTGGGTGTCTCCACCCAGGGAAGACGATCCTGGATTTTGGTGCTGGTGGTAATTAATCTCTCGGCCGCCCAAGGAGCCCGAGAATTACCACCATCACCAAGACGAGGAGGATCATCTTCCCTCGACGGAGGCAACCGCCAATACTGGTGTTGGTGCCAATCTCTAGGCCTCCGAAGGTAAGCGATGACTGGGCACGGGAAGAGGGGGGGGGGCAGACGACGGGAACGCAGGGGGCGGAGAGGAGCTCGGGGCGAGCTCCTTGCTACCGCCGTAGGGCGCCGATATGCAGCTCCACCTGTGGGGCGGCAAATCCCCCGCCACCCCCCCACTGGCGCGCCAGACGCGGCGGACGCAGAGGAGGGCGGGGATGGGGAACACGGGGGGGGGGTGAGGAGAGCGGGAGGGGGGAGAGGAGGGTGGAGAGCGAGAGGGAAGGAGGGGGGAAAGAGGAAGGCGGCGCGTGGGGAGGAGGGCGGAAGACGAGGGTGGAGAGGGGGACAGGCCAAGGAGGGCGGGGATGGACTGGGGGGGGGGACGGGGGGGGCACATGAGGGCACTGACGGGGGATGGGAGGCGAAGGGGCTCGAGCTTCAAACGTCGGCTGCGTCCTGAGGGCTGCAATCCGCGGCAAAAGGCGGGCCGCGAAGAGCCACCAGCCCGGCGCCGTGCGCAACGGGCATGCCCACCCGCGGAGCAGAAGCGGCGCAACCACGGGCGAGGGGAAAAGGGTTCTTCGGAAGCCGGGCAAGGGCTGCTAAATCCGTGGCTGCTAAAATCGACCCCCGGGAAGTTGTCTTCGTCCTTCCGGGAAGAAGCCCGTTGTTTGTTTCGCGTGCCGCGCCTCATTCCGGGAAGTTGTTTTTTCCTTCCGGGAGGGCTGTTTTAGCAGCCACGGTTTTGGCAGCCTTCGCCCAGCTTTCGGGTTCTGGAAGGGGGGCGCTCGTGCTGACCTCAGCGCGTATACGCTGTGCCCTCGGGCTGCTTTACTCTCCGCCGCCTAGCTGCGGCCCCATTCGACCGCTGCGCGCGGATGTCTTCGCAACAAGCTGTTGCCCTTTGGCGCAAGTCGGTGCGTACAGTCGACCCGTATCATAAGGACGCACGAGAAGGAGGCAAGGGCCTTGGAAGGCCATGTCGACACTCTGCGAGCGGGGCGCGGCCAGCGAACGTGGCCAGGGATGGGCCGAAGGGGCATGGATGCAAGGGTGCAAGGGCAACCTTGGGAAGGTTGCTCATCCTTACTGTGCGGTTTGACTGTATCGCATGTTCCCTCCAGCTCAGAAACGCAACAACTTCGTCGCTCTTGTTTGCCCAACGTGGAAAACGGGAGGGGGGCAGTCGCGCCAAATCCGGCATCCCACGCTCCCCTACCGCCCCTTCCCATCGCGCTGGACATGTCTGCGATTCGCCAGCATGGCGTTCGCAGGACCTGCCCAATCCTCTGCTGCGCCGTCGACAAGGAGGCTTCTTGCAATTACTGGCGAGGAGGAGGCGGATGAGCAGGAAGGGGAAGGCAGGATCATCAGGACGGAAGAAGAGAAAGAAGAGCTAGAGGAGGAGGTGGAGCAAGATCGCGAGCAGGAGCAGGAAAAAATACAACAGGAAGACCAATGGAAAACGAAGGGGAAAAGCAGGGGGCGGCCCGGGGCGGCAAATGCGAGGAACGGATCGGATCCAAAAGTGTTGCCCGCGCTGAGGCCACAGCCCCATTCAGAACTACGGAAGCAGATCTCACATCATGTGGCCAAAACTTGAACGGGGACACGATTCTTGAAGGATCGAGAACGCTCCGATTAAAACCACGTGCGGAAGATTAATGTTCGAGATCCTGCCCATGGAACTTATGACAATAATTACCCCTGCGCCCCTCCTGGGTTACAAGGCAGGGATAAGAAAATTCGGGGTTCCGCCAACGTAATCAAAAAATTCTGGACAGGTCGCAATGGGAAGGAGGAGAAGTAGGAGGTGGAGGAGTGAACAGAGTTTTTGAGTGTACGGATGCACGGGATGTCTCATGGTATAACGGTTGCGGAGGGGGAGTGGAAGGGGGAAGTAGGGAGCCAAAACGAATGCGCAGGGGGAGCGGGAGAAGGAGCAGAGGCAGCAGCAGGAAACAAAAACAGGGGGGAGAAGGATCAAGTGCCTGACCTCCCTGTGGGACCACGAACCGTGTGATGATAATCATGATGGTCATAATGCTGATGCTGGTGATGATGATGATGATGCTGGATGATGGCGATGATGACAATGATGATAAAGATGAGGGTGCTGATGATGATGGTGATGATGAGGAGGATGATGATGATTCAAATGAGGATAAGGATGTGGATGTGGATGTGGATGAGGATGAGGATGAGGATGAGGATGGTGATGATGATACTGATGCTGATGGTGATGATGACTATGATGATGATGCTGATGATGATGACGACGATGATGATGATGATGATGATGCTGATGATAAATATCGCGAAGGTAAAATCCGATGCACGATTCATACTCTACCCGGCGATAACGAAGATCAGCCCCGCCGCCCACCACCTCCGACCGAAACCGTCTTGGTCGGAGATGAGCATGAGGATTGTGGGAAGGGGGGAGCAGGCTTGATTATCTCGGGCACGGGGTTAGTGGTAAAGAACGCGAATGGAGCGCGTGCCACTTGAAACATCTGTCGGTATCGAGCGAGCCGCGGTGGAGTATCGATCTAGGGGGGCGCGTCACGGCAATGGGCCGTGATGAGACCGGGCGCCCGACCGCCAGAAAGGCGGTCGACGGGAGCGACACAAGCGGCTCCGCTACGGCTGAGGGCTTGGGCCCGAATGGCGACAGGCAACACAGAGGGAAGAGGGGGGGCAAAAGTAGGAGCTCCTGCCACCGCTGTTAACGCTCTCTCGCCGGTGCTTCCGCCGCTTCCGCACCAAGAGAGGCACTGACACAGCTTCTTCCCATTCTGAGCCTGAGGCCTACGGCGCGGACCCACGCTTCACTACGCAAGTCTGTTCCCGCTCGGACGCGCCTGGTGGTTTGCACTCATCCATGCTTCGGGACCCGCGCCACCAGGCTGCTGCGCACGATACGAACACGTCTCGCCGCCCGCGGGGTTGGGCCTATCTACCATCCATCGAAAGGTAGGGGGATGCCAGTGTTGTCATACGATGCGGAAAAAACTGCGGAGGGAGAAGGGATGTGGAGGAGGAGATTTTGAATGGGTCAAGCGCCGCCCCGGGCCCCCCCCCCGCCTCTCCCCCCCCCTGCATACAAGGCCCGACCCTCCCTGCTGCTCCCTCTTGCTCCTCCTCCTCCTCCTCCTCCTCCGCATCTGCCTCGCTCCTCTTCCTCCTCCGCCGCCTCCTCCTCCCTCTCCTCATCGCTCCTCTTCTTCCTCCTCCTCCTCCTCCTTCTTCCCAGATCCTCCTCCTCCTCCTCCTCCTCCTCCTCCTCCTCCTCCTCCTCCGTAGCCATTTTGGCCCAAGTGAGCAGGCATCGGGTGGCCCTCGCAGCGCGCCGCGAGGGCGCGTGGCGCGCCAGAGGCCATGGACGCGGCGGGCGGCGCGCCTGGCGGCAAGCGATGGGCCGCCGCGAGCGCCCGCACCCTCGCCCGCAGGCGGCGGCGCGAGGTCCGACGCGATGAAGGACCGTCGCGGGCGGCTGCGCTGGTGGTGTGCGGGAAGGCGCCCCGCGCCTCCCTGCGCGAGCACTGGCGGCAGTGCGCCAGCCTCGGGGCGCACGTGCCCGGCATGGGCGAGGCGCTGCAGGCGGCCAGGCTGCTGCGCATGCCCGCGGGCGCCACTGCGCACCGCGAGGCGGTGTTCCAGGAGGGCAACCGGGCCAGGCACGCGCCTCCGCCTGGTGCAGCGGGCGGTCCGCCCCGCCCTTCCGCCGCTGGCGCGCCCCCGCTGCGACGTGATGCCGTGCCCTTCACGCCCATCGCCTTCGCGAAGGCCGGCACGCTGCTGCAGGAGCTGGGCGTCGGTCTGCCGGCTGGAGGGGCGATGGACGACGGCGGCAACCTGCATAGCTTGCGGGGCTACCAGGGCAGACACCCGAACACCTACGAGAAGGAGGTGAGCCAGGGCGACGTGAGGCAATACCAGGCGTCGTGGCGATCGACGCGACGCAGGTGAACTTCAGCGAGCCCCCCCTGCATGACGGCAGCCAGCAGAGCATGCTGGACAACCAGGACAGTACAGAGTCCGTCTACCTGACAGAGGTGGGGAAGGACGAAGTGCTGAATTACCAGGCGCGGTGGGGGGCCGCACAAACAACCCCCAACGACGCGGAACTCGTGGGCCAGGGCAGGAAGCTCGACACTTTCGGCGCGGAGCTGAGCATCAACGACGCTGTTGGGGCCGACGGGGTGCAGGTGAGCCTCTGCGAGCCCCTGCGGCTCGACGGCAACCAGCAGAGCTTGCAGGGCAACCAGGGCAGCACCCGGCCCGCCTACCTGGCAAAGGTGAGCAAGGGCGACGTGCAGTACGTGGCGCGGTGGGGGGCCGCAAAACAACCCCAAACGACGTGAACGGACAGGAGCGCTATGGTGTGCGCAGCGACAGCGAGGACGACCAGGCTTCGGTGCAAACCGAGGCCGAGGAGGAGCTCCGGGACTTCTACGAGGCGGAGCACGGGGACACGGTCGGGCAGCCTCGAGGGCTGACGAGCATCCTGCGGCAGGGCCTGCTGCAGGGCGCGGACCTGCAGGGCAACGCGCTCGACATGGTGGTCGAGGACCTCAGGAGCGAGAGCGCCCACCTAAAGGAGCAGCTCCACGCGCGCACACAGGCGTGCCAGGAGCTCGAGCAGATGAACTGGGACCTCCGTGACTTGCTGGACGATTGCATGCAGCAGCTGCGGGACTCGGCGGCGACGGACGCCGCGACGAGCAGCATGGAGGTCAACTTCGAGGGCGGCCAGGATCCAGCGGCAGGCGTCTGCGAGGACGCCGCGGAAGCCGTGGAGGCCGTCGGAACGGACTGCAGGGCGAGCGAGAAGCTGGAACGCCGGGTGATAGAGAGGTGACAGCGCCTCTTCGAGTCCTCCTCCTCCTCCTCCTCCTCCTCCTCCTCCTCCCTCCATGACCTCCACCTCCTCCTCCTCCTCCTCCTCCTCCTCCTCCTCCTCCTCCTCCTCCTCCATGACCTCCACCTCCTCCTCCTCCTCCTCCTCCTCCTCCTCCTCCTCCCTCTCCTCCTCCTCCTCCTCGTTTGTCGATAAGATGGAGGACAACACGCGGCTCCAGGCAGAGCGGGACGCCCGGGTGGCGCGGCTCGGGGAACAGGTCGCGCGGCAGCGGCGTGG